AAAAAAAAAATCGAAAAAACAAAGCTATGAAATCTCAATAAAACAAAAAAAAAAAAATTTTTTCACCACCACTGTGTAGAATGTGCAATTTTCTCCCGCCTCAACTTGCATTCCATTTTTGAGGCGAAGAGCTCACATTGTGTAGCTTTCCTTTGTGGGGGGAACTAGAAGTGTACTTCTACACCATTCCTCCAACTGTTGAACACACAGCGGCAGGGTGTGTGGCCAGCGCTTATGCGAATGTATGCTCGTACAAATTTCGCATCTGCGTCCCGCGTCCACCCGTGTGTGATAGAAGCCATCGATTGGGGGTCACTCTCGGTGGAAAAAAAAAAAAAAAAAAAAAAAAAAAAAAAAGGTTGGTACTTTGGGTGGGGGGTCCCTGGGGAGAAAAAAAAAAAAAAAAAAAAAAAAAAAAACGAAAAACAATCCCTCCTACAAACGTGTTCTGGAAGAACATTTGTGTACGTTATTTGTCATTTGTTCTTTCTTGTTCCAGATGCAAAAAAGAAAGAAAAAAAAAGAAAGAATGTGATAGTGAAGGAAATGTTTGTTTACATGGTAGGGTACGCATTCTGAAGGGTACTCCCTCGGCTTGGTAGCGTACTTGTTTTGCATGCAATAATGTAGGCATAAATTTCTGTACGCATTTGCATCAACACGTTATGAGGAAAGAACATACTGAAATGCTTGTGCAAACAAAAAAAAAAAAAAAAAAAAAAAAAATACTTAGTCGCCAACTCGTTATAGAAATAAACGTAACACCCATAAGAACACACGCCAATGAAATTTTTAAAAAAATGCCAAAGAATGGAAAAAAACTAAATGTGTGTATTTTAGAGACTACGTATAAGTGAAAGATACATGAATTTATAATTAAATTTCGTGAGCACCAAGATGTATTATCTTTTTTGTGCCTAAGAAATAGCTTTGCATTAGAATACGCCGGCCTTCTTGAATTGCGTTTCTACACCCAGCCCTTTAGCCTATTATATCTTTTGCACATCAGGGGAAAGGAAAAGCCCAAGTGTTAAGAAAAGCGAAAAAGGATACACAGCCAAAATAACAAAAACGTAAAATAACTAAAAAGATAAAAAAAAAAAAAAAAA